GACGGCGACGGCGATTGATGAGGCTAGCGCAACCGCAACAACTGTGTCGTCCATAAATGAGTTATTAATGCCAGTGAACGTAACAACGACCATTCCAACAACAAATACAACATCAGTGCCAATTACGACGACACCAACACGCGCAGCAGTGGAACCAGTTCTATATGAGGCAACAACCCTTAAAAGCGACGAAAGCGTAAACGACGAAACAACAACGACCACATCAATCCCATTGGAAACAATAACAGTGCAGGCAACTGGGTCAGTGGACGCTAATAGCGCTGCCACCACTACGGCAACGCCTGTCGATTTTCGAAATCACACAGCTGAGGCGGCGGTGGAAGGTGCACATGACACAGAAAGCTCAATCGAAACGAATGTCATCGATCAGCTGGACAAGACGACAGCGAAAATAAGTGAGACAAGCGCTAAGCAGCCAACAAATAGCACTGAAAGTAGCGTAGCGCCAGCAATATCGACAACTGAAGTGGCGTTCGCTAAGGAGAACGCTGGACTAAAAGGTGAGGCTGATGCTTCGCAGACTGTGACTATTTCCGGTACGAGTAATGAAACATTGTTACCCGGCATGCAGGACGCAGACAGAACAACAACATCCACTACAACTACTACCGACACCTCCGCCACTACAACCACCACAATGGCTAATATACCCTTGAGCACGAATAGCACACCTGTATGGCTGGCTCCAGAGTATAGTAATTCTTCGACCAGCGACACAACAACCACCGAGCCGCCGCTCATCAACCTGCTTGACGATTCGTCGACACCAAGAACAACGACGCCAATAGCTATACCCAATCAGTCGACAGCAACTACCTCCAGTATTGGCGTCAAGCCACAAGAAGTCTACACGGTATTCTCCACCACCGAGGGCACCACCACCACCGTCAGCACCAGCACTGCCGCCATTGCTCCTTTAGTGCCAATGTTAAGCTCGACCACCGNAAGCCAACAAATACCACTGAAAGTAGCGGAGCGCCTGCAATATCGACAACTGAAGTGGCGTTCGCTAAGGAGAACGCTGGCCTAAAAGGTGAGGCTGATGCTTCGCAGACTGTGACTATTTCCGGTACGAGTAATGAAACATTGTTACCCGGCATGCAGGACGCAGACAGGACAACAACATCCACTACAACTACTACCGACACCTCCGCCACTACAACCACCACAATGGCTAATATACTCTTGAGCACGAATAGCACACCTGTATGGCTGGCTCCTGAGTATAGTAATTCTTCGACCAGCGACACAACAACCACCGAGCCGCCGCTCATCAACCTGCTTGACGATTCGTCGACACCCAGAACAACGACGCCAATAGCTATACCCAATCAGTCGACAGCAACTACCTCCAGTATTGGCGTCAAGCCACAAGAAGTCTACACGGTATTCTCCACCACCGAGGGCACCACCACCACCGTCAGCACCAGCACTGCCGCCATTGCTCCTTTAGTGCCAATGTTAAGCTCGACCACCGCGGCTGATGCGTCTTTGGAAACTTCTACATCCACATACATGCCCGCAGTTGTCACCAGTACGATTGCCACGGCAACAACAACAACAACAATTCTTCCTCCCACGCTGCATGCCGCTATCGGCGAAGGTGCTAGCATCGGCGGCGGAGGCGGTGCGCCTACTCATCTGCCTGACATGATCAATGCCGGCATGCGTCCGAATCCCAGCGATGCCAACGAGACAGACGTCAATGTCATCATCGCCATTACGGTTAGCATTATTGGTGTGGTGGCGCTCATATTGCTCGTCGCTTTCCTCTATCTAATGCGCAAGCGTCAGAAACAGATGTCCTATGGTCAACGTTGCCGGCCGGTGAGTTTGGATGCCTACAGTTTGGATAATGTCTCTGTGTTGGGTAGTGTGCGGCGGAAAGGTGCTTCACGCGCTTCAAAACGCTCCTACGGCAATATTGCCTTCGATGATCCATCGTTGCGGCACAATGCGCTCACCGCCGCTGAGCTGGCCAAATTTGTAGAGCGTCGGTCGAGTATTTTCGAGGAATTCAGGGATGTGCCGCAAATTATTGCGCGTGCAGATGAAGTACCGCCAGGCTGTGAAGATAAGAATCGGTGAGTGCTAGCTTAATTTAGTTCTATACTTTTGGCTAAAAAATAGGTCCACTCATGTATGGGCAATTGATATCTTATCTCGTAAATGGACAAAATTAATTGTTGAGTTTTAACTATAATACCGTTACTGCATAGTATACGCATACTTTTATGTACATAGACACTCACAAATACAGCCATATCTCATGCGAGGCAAGTGCTCTTATCTTTTTAACATTGAAGATAAAGAAGCGGTTCTTAGGTCATTTTACTGAAAATTACTCAAATATTCGTTTGGCGTTGAGCGGTGTGTAGGCCGAAATTAATCTAGAAGGTCAAATTTTTTTGAATATCTTGTAAAGCTCATTTCTAGCGGAGATTATTTTCGACGCCATATTGCAAATACCCGACGTAACTGCCCCCAAACTAAATATCTTTAGAAACTACAAATGTACATTGCGGATTGAGCTCTCTTAAGTACAGAAAATCCTTATAAAGTACAGAAAGTCCTTATAATGGAATTTGGTATAGAGATGGAACTCAGTCTGGCGAAGGCAAGATAGCTGCAGAAAAAATGCGCTCTACGATCCTCAACTTACAAATAAGATGCACACAGTGAGTCGTTGTTGTTTTTTTAACAGCATACAAATTCCCTAGTCCTTGGCCAGATATAGATCTGGGTCGTTCCGTGGGTCGTCGTTGAATTGTTTCACGTTATCATTCCGATTAGAGCTCGTAGCTCTCTCTCTCTTCTTTAGTATTTTCAGCAAACACTTTGTATTTTTATAAGGGTCAGTATTGCAAAAACGATTTCAATGAAATCTCTGATCTACATACATCACAGTTTCAGATATGATTTACCTTATAATTGGCTCAGGTCCAACTGGACGCGTGCTAATGAACCGCACGTCATCAATCAGTTTATTGCCTTGAACTCCACAGTTTCCCTCCAAATGCCATCCAGTTCCATTTTCAGTCGTGAAGTCTCCATTATAGATAGTTTTTACCAAAGCTCTCGATTGCTCGCTTGTAGGAAAGCTAACGACGTTCTTGCTTCCAAAAGAGTCTCCACGTATCAGTTTGTCATTAGGATATTATTCTGACAAACTCTCTAATCTAATCTCGATCATCGAAATCGTCTTCATTACCCCTCCCCTTGGAACGCTTAATCCAGGAGTAGCAAATCAAACAAAGCATTAAGAGCCGCTCCTTATATTGTACTGCGGCCATATTGCCGAAACACACATTCCTTTGTAGCCCGTTTAAAAAAGCTCATCTTGACAACGACGTAACATTCCGTCTGATTAGAGCTATTTATATCCAAGGTACTCACGATGTGGAGAGACAAAGGTGGCGCGGCGCATTTAGTAGTACCGCTACTTCGTTCTTGGCGAATTTGACCGAAACAATGCTACAAAGTCATCTTCCGGCACAAACAGTCAGAAGTCTTCTAGATAATATGAGTTGGACCATTCACTTCATTCATTCCACCTGCCCGCAGAGTCACAGGTAGCTGTGTCAAGCATCAGCAAACAATGTTACCTGTCTTTTGCCCTGTGTCTAACCCCACTTCGATTTTTATTACTGGGTCGTATCGGTCGTATATAAAAAGGAATGAAACTTTTTTTTTTATTATCTAACCACATGAATCAAAATATTTCTAAATTAATCTTTATATTTGCACACAAATATATGTATAAATACATTATGCACATATGTACGCGTATGCACTTAGGTGCTTATGATAGTTACATACATGCATACTTGTGAGTAGGTAAATACGTAGTAATATAAATACATATGTATTTACATACATATATACAATCTATTATATGACGCGACAATAAACACTCCACAATATTATATTTGAAGTATGTAGATATGATTAATTTTTTATACGGACCGAAGCTCGCATTCAACAAATGTTTTCATGCTACATTTGTTTATTTGGCAGACATTTAAGCTTTTAAAATCCAACAAAAAATGAGCATGTATGTATGTACATTAGGTCGCACCACTCGCCATACAAAAAAATCGGCGATGTTTTTTCTTTCAAATTAAAAATTTTCTATATTTTAAGAATTCTGCCAAAATATACATATGTACATATCTAAAAAATATTAAGATTTACATGGTCAGGATGGATTTAAAAATACGTCTAAAAATTTAGTTCTATTTATAAACAAAATTGGTTTATTTGTTTTTCCAAAAAATCGCCTTAGAACAGCTAAAGTTTAAAAGGTTTGCACAAAAATGGTTGCAATCAACGGAATCAAACAAATTTTTCACTTTAAGAGTTATTTCCAAATCGGTCCAGCTCACATAAATCTTTCCCGAAATATTTTGACGGTTGCCATGGCAGCAAGCATAAAATTTGCAAATGCAATTCCAACTGCAAATCCCAGATCATTTCCACAACTTCCTGAACAGCCCTAATATATTTTATGATTCCGGTGGAAAGCCCGCAAGCGTTTTTGTGAGGCGCCCTAGTGTAATTATTAAATACATATGAGGATACTTACTTAAACTACATACATATTCATATGCACGTATGTACATTAGGGTTACTCTCGCTCGATAAATTTGCTCGATTCTTTGATTCTTTTAAATACATATCTCACTGAAATAAAAAAATTGTCTACGATGTAAATCGAATAGGAAGAAACCTTATATCAACTGAAAAATTACAGATATTTCATATTTTCCGTTTTTGCAAAATTGATTTATTGTATGACCCCATACTACACAAAATTCAAAACACGCGAAATAATCAATATATTCACCAAACTATGGGCCAAATATAGTAAAACTGCGTTTTTAGTTTTTCACTCTAACGCCAATATTTTTTAAAGGACTTTGAAATTTCCAAGATATGATTATTTCAAAAAAAATATTTTAAAAATTCAGCAGAATGTATAATGAAAATATAGGTGCCAAATGAAAGAGAAAATTCTTTATAATTTAAAAAAATTAAATTTCTTTAATTTAAAAGGACGAATAGGTATTGTAAATGCCCTTTTATTTAGTTTTATTTTTTAAGCTAATAAAGCTAGAAGCACGAAATTGGAGGATGTGGTCGTGCATACTGCAAATTTTCAAGGATATTCAAGAATAAAAATTTAAAAAGACATTTTCAATACATTTTCGTCCTCAAGCACCAAAAAATGTACACACTTATTCATAAAAAATAAAGTGGCTTTATAAATTTTATAAAGCTTTTTAAACCTACTTAATTTTTATGAATAAAGCTAATAATTTTTTTCTTGATTCCTATATTGTTTGTACATACAATGCACTGAATTTTTTAAACAGTTTTTTGAATTAAACATAAATATAAAATTTTAGCCCTTTTAAAAAAATCCTCACATCAGAGGGAAATGCTAAAAGCGCAGTTTTACTATTTTTGATCTCTAGTTTCGCGAACTTATTGACTTTTTATGTGTTTAAAATTGACACTCGCACATATTTGTACTCTTTGTATTTTGAACAATATTAAAAAAGTTTAAAATTAAACTGCACCCTAATACGTGAGACATTTACATTTGTCTGTATGTACATATGTTATATGCCGTCTTGAGTCATCATCGCGCTTTTTTTCGAGATTTTAAGCTCTTAATTAATTAATTGAATTTCCTTCGTATCATTGCCAAGCGTTCTAATACATATTTCATATTTTTGTTTCTCTTTTTCTACTTTCTATGTACGGCGTCTATTTTGTTATTTTATTTGACTGTCTGTACATTCAATTCAACGACTGGCTACCTACCGTATTTAGATATGCCAATGTAATACCGCTTCCTGAGACGCGTGTCGTACTACAGCAGCTTGGAGACGACGATAAAACGGAATATATCAATGCCAATTATGTCAGGGTAAGTACGAAAATAATAACAATAAAGTGCATACATATGTATATGTACATACACACATATATGTGTAAATATGTAATATACATAGAAAGGCCCTATCTAACATTTTTGTTTTATTTTTTATTCGGTAAATAGTTATAAACTTTATAAAACTGAAAGTTCTTCATTTGCGAATTTCTTCTAAACACTGATCTTTAATAAATGCTGAAACTAATTTATTAATGCAAGTTTTTGTTTTTTTTTTAATTCTATTAGGTCTTTAATGAGTATCCTTTCCTATTATAATGGAAATTTTTCCAGTGTTCTGCTATTATGGGTTAAATTGTGTGATAACTTTAACTGAATTTGTTACCAAAAACTTTGTTTATAAAATCTCACAAATCATTTATGTAGTACATACACACATGTTGGTGTGTGTACAATGTACGGGTATATTAAAATTACAGAGCGATCCGCTAACTAAATCACTGGAGTAGATCGAATCGTTGCAACTAATCTTCTCAGCTGGATGACAAAGTCTCTTTGTTATTTCACTGCCTTTGTTTTATTTATACTTACTATCTCGCTTGTCTTTGTGTCTTTGTGTGTACGTTATCTCTTTTTGTGCAAATATATGTATGTATGTACAGATGTACCTGTCGAGAATGTCAGTTACTTATTTTTATTTTTTTTTTGTTGCTTTCGTTTTACCTTGTTGCTTTTGTAATTATAAAGCGCAACAAGCTCAAAATTACGCGATCATTTTGATGTTCCGTTTTTTTTCCGTCCTTTCTCTCTTTCTGTATAAACGATTTACGCATAAGTTACGCAACACACATAGATACATATGTATGTACATTAGGGCGCTTTTTTCGGCTTCAACTTTTTTTTACTCCCACCTCGAAATTTTGCGGGAAATATCTAAAAACATGAAACCAATCAAAGTTTACGTATATTTGGAACGGCAAATCTTTGCACGCCTTGGTCGAGCACCTAAATATTAATATTAAGGGCTCAAATTTTCAGGGAACTTGTTTTTAGATATTTCCCACAAAATTTCGAGGTGCATAAAAAAAAATATTGGCGAGAAAGAAGCATCCTAATGTACATATGTACTATAAGGTGAGCCATCTCTAGACTCTTTTGTTTTTAATTTTAAATTAATCACTTAAAACAGAGCTGGATGTCGAAATCTTTATTTTTACCCGAAAGAACATTCTCTGTCCTGTACTTTTTAAAAATAATTTAATTCAAATGTTAGCCGCAGTCAGAACATAACTTGAACATAAATTGAAGCCCATGATGTCGTCAACATTTGGTTTCAGCATGTTGTCGTGTGATATCACGCCTCTGGATTTTTTTTTCTTTGGGGTTATGTGAAGTCAGAAGTCTTCTTCGATAAGCCAGCTATGATTCAAAAAAACGTAGAAGCGAACATTATTCGCGTAATTCGCGCAATGCTGGCAAGACTAATTCAAAATATGACCTTCCGAATGGACCACCTACAGCGTAGTCGCAGCCAACATTTGAATGAAATTATTTTTAAAAAGTAAATGTCAGAGATTCTTCTTTCGGGTGAGAATAAATATTCCGACATCGATTTCAGTTTTAAGTGTTTTATTTAGAATTAAAAAAGGTCTAGATGGATCACCCTATACATACTGTGTATGCACATACATATGTATGTATGTATGTATGTAAGTAAGATCATCAGCTGCCGTTGAGCGCTACGTCACTTTGTCGTCTGGGCCAGCAGCGTTTTAGCGTGAACGCTTCAACAATTAAGTTACACGCTCAAAACATTAAGCTTAAATCATGAAGCTCGATGCACTCCATTGCCACTTTTATACCTAAAATCAAGTTTATCGGGAGCGGCATTTTATTTATGTATGTACATTACACTGTGCACACAGTTGGTTGCAAAAATACGAGTATTTGTAAGACAACACTTTTCATTACGAAAATTAGTTTTATTCAAACGATAACTCATCCCTAAAATATATATATTTTGTAGAGTAGTAGTAGAGTAGAGTAGATATTTACCCTCCCTGCAAGCCATTTTTACAGAGTATTCTGAATCGTAAAGAAATTTTAACGAATTCGGAAAGATCCCATCCGATTTTTTTCCGAATTTTCTAAAATGAAATAAATTACGCACACTTCCATTCTTTTACGAAATTTCGGAAGAAAATCGGTGAAGAAATGAAAATACCCTGCAAACAATTTTTTCAGAGTATTAATTTTAAAGAATTCGTTAAGATTTAATTCGATTTTTTGCCGAATTTTCTAAAATGAAATAAATTACGCACACTTCCATTCTTTTACGAAATTTCGGAAGAAAATCTGTGAAGCAACGAAAATATTGCTGCTATGTGAAGAATATCTGTCAGAATTTTTCCACAATTTTCTTTATTTTTCGTACAGAAATTTCTTTACGAGTTCGTGTCAACCCCTTCATATAATTTTCTTTGAAAATTCGTAAAAAAATCGTTACAGAAATGAGATCCTCCTAACGATTTCCTTAAGATTTCGGGAACTTTGGTTTGCAGGGCTTTTGCAGGTCTTTTCTGCGCTGGCAACAAACATTTCGTAACTGCTAATTAAAGTTCTCGCTTTAGGTTTTGTAAATAAAGTCTCAAAATTTTTCTATTCAAAATAGCCCTGCTAATGATAATATACTTATGCGTTGCCGGTCGGCTGCCTTTTTTATACTGGCTACCGTTGCCTGAGAAACGCTACAGAAAACAGGCAGCCTTAACATGATATTTACGCAAAGTTCCTGACAGACAGAATATATCTGCTCCAACTTTGCCGTCGACTTATGCATCCGTGAAAATGTTTATTAAAACTTCCCGCTAGAGGCTGCTACCCTCCCATTCACTCTTAAGGGGATATGTGTAGAGAGTCAATCACCGATTCGTTTATGGTATGAAGACGAAGTTTCCAAAGATCACCAAGTGCTCGTAGGCCGAGTTGCAGGAAACTCCAGAGTTTCTTAGACTTACGCAGCAGCCTTACCCGCAATGTCAATAGGATCGTAGATGAGCATAGCGTTAAGCGCTACATTGGAGTGGTACGGAACACTGCGTTGATTTCAACAAGGACGGCCCTTTGCAAGGCTTTGGCCTCATAACTAGAGTATACTTTTCTAGTGAATTCCATCAGATAATGACCCCACATCGACGACCGAGTGAAAGATCGGCCTAACTCGCAGCCAGTTCGAAAACACCTTATCTTAAATTTTTTTTTTTTTAAGTATTTTCGTTTGAGATAGGGCGTTCTTAAACAAAATTCTGAGATAAGGGTGTTTTTTCACTGAAATTCTGAGATAGGGCATTTTCGAACTGACTTTCTTCCCGTTCCATAACATTTGGCTTCCAAGTTAGCTTTATGTCAAGGATCACGCCGAAAGACGAGCGAGCTAAAGATAGAAACCAATATACATACATATATTTCAGTATTTATATGGACTCAGAATGAATAACGTGGACTAATTCTATTGGCGAAATATTGTTAATTTTAACCCAATTTCTTCAATTTTATTTGAAGTCATTTTACCAAGTTATTACTTAGTACTTAGTACTTTCGTGACTCACTGTGCACATTGATCCATGCATGATGCGCATTATAAAATTTGCCTACATACATACATTGTA